TTCAACAGTCACAATAACTCATGGTGGATCCTGCCCAGACTGGAGCCAGTTTGTGGCCCTGACTGGAAACATCAACAGCATACAACAACTAGCAGCCCCTCAGCAGGCACCACGCTGTTTTGAATGTGATCTGCACTGTCCTTGGCTGGATCAATAATTACTATCAATCCATTTCACTAATTTCCATCAGTTGGGCAGCACTCTACTATTTTTGGAAGGATTTCTGTGCTGACAGTGAAAACTTTCCCTTATTTTCCAATTTTGCTGTTCCCATTCCCTAGTTTCAGTACCAATGGATACTTAATGTGATTTCCCATTAAGCTGTTGCTCAGCTTCATGGAGCGTCATCAGGATTATTTCCACTGGTGTGGAAACAGAGGTGTGGGGTGGGTAACACTGCCTGCAGGCTGCTCTGACAGCCACAAGGACAGCAGGGAAGAACACCAGTCCCAAGCTGTGCACAGAGAAGGCTGGAACTACCCACTCTAACTTAATACCCATCTACAGTGAAAAAAAAAGTAAGTTTTGAAGTTCTTTTCCAATAAAATTTGTAATGTGAAACTGCTTGATACAATGGGTCCACTTCTCCTTGAACTTCCTCCTGCCAATTATCTTTTATTTTTAGATCTTTTATTTTTAGACTGCTGCATGTTATCACTGGGCAGCTCAACCAACAATTAATTGGAATTGTTTTGCTTCTCACGCAGTTTTATTCCTTTGCTTTAGGCAGCACTTGAACCAAACTGTCCTCAGAGGAGATGACAGCACAGACAGCACGCTAAGGACAAGCACAAGCTGGCACGGCAGGGCACTCTCACTGCACTTCTCCCCTCCCACACCTGCATACATTTGCATCTGTGTGTGCATTTTTCTCAAGCCACGTCAAACCTTATGAAGAATCAGGGCCATATGGCAGCAGCTCAGCAAGCAAACAGCATAGAGAGCACTCAGTATGCAACCAATACAGGAAGACTCCTCTAGCACAGTCAGTGAGCTTCACAGCAGTATACATGGTGCCCAGCAGTGACAAAAAGATCCAAGTGATGTGATGTGGGGAGAGGTGGGAGCTGGGAATCCCAGCAGGGCACTGCAGGGCTGTGATCCCATCAGCTCTGGCTGCTGCTTAATGGGCTTTTCTTCAGGGTGCATTGCCACCAAGCCAAAGCTGAGTTGAAGTTACAGAACGGTACACGATCCCAACCTCTGTTTTTAATTCTATTGCCACTACCTTGTTCAGTAACCTAGACAACAGCAAAAATCTCCTTCCAGTCCCACAGCACCACTAAAATGGCCTGAACTACTGTTCATACTGAACAGTGGCAAAGCACGAGCTGGGAACAAAAATCAGCCCCCATTCAAACAACATTTCATTAAAGGGCCTTAGCAGATCCTACGTCGTTTAACTCCACAAAGCTCACACGCTTTTGCAAGCTGCCACTTTAAGACACTAGCTAAAAATATTTGCTTTATCTGAAGTCAGATGAATAAATCCTCCCTACTGTTGGGTACACAGTGTGGCAGTGTGCAATACAACTGCAAATTTATTTGTTAGGAACTGTACATCTGTTATGATTTACGCTTGCCAAAATATTATTCTTTATGGCAACAATTGTTTCACGGTGCTTAAAGTTTTTCACCTCTGTGCCAGGAATCTCATATGGGATAATTCCATGACCTTGGAATCCAACAGATACATTCCACATCTGTCTGGTCTGGGAAAGCCCAAGTTTGTTGTGTGAAAAGCATAGTGGGAAACTGAGACCTGGAAATATCTGAAAATACAAAACTGCAGGGCTGCTGCTTTTTTCTTTTCTTAATTACCAGTTTCAAGTGTAGTAAATCAATCTCACAAAAGCAGTTACTTTGCTTCCGTAAGCATGCATTCATTTCTCAGCCTATCTCCAAATGAAGGGACACGGTACAAACATTAAAGAAAAAAATCTACTGCTGGAAAAAATTGCAGCCTTGAAATACTTAAGCTAAATCTTGTTGAAGGCTGTGTCAAATGTAAATGAGTAAAATACCCAACCTGCTGCAAGGAAGCAACGCACCGCTGCCTGCGAAGACAGAACGACAGACAAACTGTGGCAGTCCTTAAATCTCAGGGTAATATTCTTCTCATTAGATTTTTACCAGAAAATGACCACAGACAGCTTTGTGAGCAGTGGACTTACAAAGCCTGGTTTCCCGTGGTTTTCCCCCATGCACATTTTCTGTTATTCCAGTATTTTTGCTGAGCTCATGCTGCAGCCTTTCAATTCCATGCGCAGAGCCTGTCCTTCCAGCAGCCTGCACCCTGCCATGGTATGGAGGAAGATGCTGGACAGAAAGCCACGAAAAAAGGTTATTCTCAGAAAAAAACCAGAAGGAAAACAAAAAAGGGAACAGGTGAATCTGCATGACTGGCAGAAAAGGGAGCCCATCTACCTCTGCCCATAGTAAGAAGGGTGATATTCCTGGTTTCAATCAGGAATTTTCCACTCGATCTGGAAGTGTCCCTTTCAAGAGGTGACCAGGTGCACTTCAGGCTGCAAACCCCGAGCGTGCCAGCTCCCCTGCTGGCAATGTCCTTCTGCAGGACCAGGGGATGGAAAAGACTGCATCCCACAGGATGAGCAATTTATGGAGATGACGGAGAATGGCGCAAACAACTGAAAATCCACGCGCTGTCCTCGCTGTCTGCAAGAACCTTTTACAACAAGAGTCTCAATATTTGTGATGCTGGTGATCTCTCTGGCTTTACCAAAGACTTACAAATTGGTAACTGATATGCCTAAGGCTTTCTGCAAACAACCATGTTTTGTAATAACTCACTATCTTGCCCAAAAATTCTGTGGCAAAGTGCCTCCAAAGGAGGCTGCGTCCTGCTGATGCGTGCAATGGTTTCTGCATGCATGGCAGCCAAAAAACTGGCTGCATTTGTAGTGTTCTGGACTGTATAGCCACAGAAATCAATAAAGATATGAAAGACCATAATGACTGTCAGGCATATTGTGACAACAAACCAGCTTTCAACCAATGTCTGTAGAAAACAGTGCTCCCAGTGGCTCGTATCAAATCTCCTACAGATCAATCGAACACCAAAGATGCAAACTCCTGTGAAATCAGATTTAAAGCACAAATCTTGAATTTTCTGTGAGAAGACACAAATACTTCTGCAGCACAAAAAAAAGCTGATAACTGGACGTTCATTCTTTAATGCAGAACAGTACAGGCAACTTCCAGACTAAGAAACTATGCAAGATTTACAGTGCATGGGTGAGGTGAGCAGATACTTTATGATTACATAGTATGCAGTGCTAATACTTTCTTACCCATTCAAGTCTTTACAGCTGTTCCTTCATAGGGGGAAAATAAAGGCCTTTGGTAATTCTTTAGCAAGCTGCCAATTTTCCATATGGAATTTGATGGCTAAGAAAATCAGGTTTTTCTAGTCTCATGCTGCTGCAAGGAGTAACAAGATGCTCAGTAATACTCACAGAAATAAAAAGTCCACATTTCCAAAGAGGCACAACAGTTCCTCAATTCTTCTTATACAGTAAAGATCTTATTAATGAGACAAAAAACAACATCTAAGTAACAGTTAATCTGGTTTTATTCCCTCACCATTGATTTGAAGGCTCATCACATATTTAAGGTTCCTCAGTGTGTAACTGTGTGCTCTGCAGGTGTGGTTATTTGCACTGACAACTTTGTGAGCATCAGGAGATAAACTGTGTTCATAAATCAAATAAATATTTCGTCACCAGCATCCAACACTCAAGAGGAAAAAAGCGAATAGAATTTTAAGTGTCATATATTGATTATGAACTGAATTTTGGCTGCCTTGGGTAGAGGCACCTGTCCAAAAATTCACACTTAAGCAGCAAAGGAAAACCTGCTGGCCCCTAAACCATTTGGAATGGGTGCTGTGCAAACCTCTTCTCACCTGCGTGGCGCAAGGACTCTTTCCTCCAAACAATCATGTCACAGCACAGCATCTGATGGAACCCAAGATGTATTCCATGTACATGCAATTGGATTCTAAGGCAACACCACGACACCAGCTTCATTACATCCACCTGACCCGTGTTCTCCCACCAGAGGAATTCAGATAGCTACTACCCCTTGTACCCCCACTGCCTTATTGCTGGTCGTGTAACACATGGCCTGAGCTGTGCACTTGAACTGTCACCACACAGCCACATGCCAGCCTATGGATTTGTGTAGGAGCACTCACAGCCAGCACTGAGAAATATGTCCCAAACTCCTATTTCAACTCATATACAAGCATATCCTAATGCTGTCTTGTTATCCTTCTCTCAAATAAAGTCTCTCAAATGCCTTTCTATAACTTGTTAAATCACAGTGTTTAAGTATTTGTGTGAGATACAGAGGACACAAATATTTATGCCAGAGAGGAGGAGAAATCCCATCAGCATCTGTTTACAGAAGTGAGATGGTGCAACTGAAGTGTCAGATAATCTCCCAAAAAGATGTCAGTATTTTCAGCTGCCTGACAGATCTGTCTGCTTATGTGAGAGTAAACAAGAAAATGGCTCCACCATTTGGACTGAGTTTAAGGCAAAACGAAGAACAAATGATCCATTTTCAGATCAGGTCTCCTGTTCCAGTCTACAGATGTTCGCTGCAATTTCCCTTGTAAGTCCCTCTGGGAACAAAGATCAACACACCGTGTGGCTGGCCAGCCTTGTAAAATGCGGACAGTTTGGAACAATCTAAAAAATGAAGTAGAAAAGAAACCTTCAAATGGTAAAGACAGAAGACACACCTCAAAATTCCTCCATGCCTTCACTTCCCTGGAAATCAAGGACTGTCCTGCGATATTTCCACAGAAATGGTGTCTGAATTCATGTGAATTTTGAGTCATTCTCCTGGTTCATGTGGAGTTAGTTCGGATTTATGCTGGAGTAAGAGATTAAACTGAAACCAAATGCCTTTCATACAAAGTCTTGATCTTTACCAGGAAAAGACACAGCTGATCAGGGTGCCAAACTTACCTCTGTAATAATGAAAAAGTCGTCACCAGGCTCTCCCTGCACAACAATTTTTTCTCCGTCTTCAAACTGGACAGGTTCCAGCGCATCAGCCACTGTCAGCCGCTCCCATTTATCCAGGGACTCTAAAATATTGAAGATCATAAAACTTTATTATAAAAAGATTCTAACTTTGGCAGAAGATTCATATATAAACTGACAGCCCCGATACGCCTGGTTCTGTTATAGAAGAAACATTTCTTTCATCCAGGCACTTTGCACGAACCTCAAGTTGGGAAACATGAATACATTTATTCATTGTGCCTTAGACTTTAGTAATCGCTCAGATAAGAATCTAGAAAGTTGGACAGGAATAGTTGGCTGCAGTTCCCTAGGTCTGCGATCAGCTCTGCTGCCTCGATGCTCAGGAGCAGCCCAGCTGTTCTGAAAGACTGAGATCCTCTCCTGCCACATCCCACCCAGATGCCAGAACAAGTCCCGGTGTCTTTGCAGCAGCGTTGCTCTCAGATGGTTAACAATGGCCTTCTGAATAAGCACTGCAAAGGTGCTGATCCAAAAGATGACATCAGGAGCTCCTGGAGCCAACACGAGTCCCTGTTAGCATGCGTGGCAGTGGGGCTCAGTCTGCTTCAGTAAAGCTGCACCTCTGTTTCATTTGCAATTTTGGCCATTGGGACTGCACACAAAAGTGTAAGAACTGTTTTTCTTTTCCTTCTGCCGCTCAGAGGAAAAAAAAGCTATAAAACTTCAAAGTAAACTTCAATAAGAAATTATTAACAGTCTGTTTTATGAGTAAAGGAACTCACAAAGCCTGGCTCCTGTGGCTTTGTGTCCTTATCGCTTACCTGCAGCTGCCACCATTCCCTCTGATACCTGCATGGCAAAAAAGTCTGCAGAGCGGCCAGCCCTGGGCTGCTGGCTTCCTCCCAGTGCCTTTCCTAGGGACAAATTCTATCTGTCCTGCCTTTGGGAAGATAAGGGACGGTAATCTGTGTCTCTTTCTTTTGCCTCTTTGCATGAGAATTCAAGAGAATTAATTGTGTTTGAACTTTTACCTTTTTAAATCAGATTTAAGTGGGAAAAGCAACAGGATTAGAAGTTATTAAAAGGAAAAGATAACACAACGATATAACCCTCATAGCTTTCAAAAGTTGAGCTAAAATTCATGTACTAGAGCTCTACTGATTCTTCCTTAATTCATTAGGAATTACTGGACGATTTTAAGTGGCTTCTATGGCTTCTGACAACAAGACCAGACTTGGGTTGCTTGCTCAGACTCTGGCTTTTGCAGTTAGTTCAATACAGTGCTCAGAAGCATTGTGGGAATGTGAAAGAGTTATTCTCTAAAATCCAAACAGCCCTTTGGCTGAGCCCAAAATGTGCACAGAGTCTGACAAGACCAAATGGGTGATCAGTGCACGAAAGGTAAGCTTTGAGCTGCTTGACAAAAACACAACTTAATGCTTCTGTGCATTTTCTGTTGCAACTTGAGAAATAATTACTCCTAATATGTTTCCCTCCTATAATCACGAATGGACTGTCCTGGTATATTTGTGGCCTTTCGTGTAGAACCATCAGTATCAAAGTCCAAGCTCATACCATCAGTGCCACATTCAAACAGTGCTCTGTTTGACTAAAAATGAGCATAAAACTCTTTCATACAGAGTAGAGTGGGCTTTTTCTTTCTTTCTTTTTTTTTTCTTTTTTAAAGAAAGAGCTCAGTAATTAAGAATGAAAAGAAAGAATCTCTTTAAACTTCTTCAGTTGCCTTTATGAAAAATTCAAAGCTAATTCCAGCTCTAGTCATGAAGTGTCTCTCTTTTGTCTATAGGAATTATGCCACTACAAATACACTGGTTAATGGCTCTTGCAAGCAGAGTACCATACAGAACTTTGTACACGATAGAGCTTAACATTTGAGTTGCAGAGTTAAATTCAAACAACAAATAAGTAGACCAATCTTTTCAATTTCTAAATTGTACATTCAAATTCATTATTGTACATTTAATTAAAGGCCAGGGAAAAATTTTAAATTGATTAGTTTCAACATACCTTCTTAGACAGGCAGCTACCGATAACCTAAAAAGTCCTTAGGATTAAAAAAAAATAAGTAGGTTGCTTCAAAAGTAATGCCTCCTATTTATTTCTATGGAAACTACTACAGCTACAAAGAGCACAATAACACTACTTGACAGGGCAAATTCTAAGCTACCAAACAATGCTTTTCAACACGGTCATCACCATTAGCTGTGCGTTTTCACCAGTGATGAACAAGAGCCTGTTTGTCTTTTCAGCCCTTTCCTACCCCAAAAGACAGTGCACATCACTTCACCCACTGAGGGCTGCATCATCACCTTTTCCTGTGACAAGGAATTCATGCGCTGCCACTCCACAGGCTGCCATTTTGACTCTGACTCATAGTGGTGACACTACAACTCCTCATCACTAATGATGCTACCCAGGAAACTGGCACCTCCGGCCCTATATTGGTTTAATAGGTCCTGACAAATTTGCATGTGGTGTTCATTCTGCTCCTTTTGTGGGAAACACCTGCTTTTCCAATGTTCTACCACCATTTCTGACAGTGCCAATATTCAGCTCCATACACAGTTCCCTGATCATAATCTTCTGATTTGCGCAGAGGGGCTGATCAAAACCTGCTTCATTTCGTGGTGAGACAGCTGTGCACAGCCACCCAGAAGATGGCTTTTCCTTCACACTGCTGTCACCGCTGCTGAAATGCACCACTCGCCCCTCACTGTGCTCACGTCCACTGTTCTGTCTCCAGAAACGTTCAACAAGTGATGATGAATGTCAGTGGGGCCATTTTTTCTGCACAGAGGAATTCAGTGACACACCTTTGCTACATACTCACTTCCATGCCAGACGCCATCCTGTCAGACTCTGCTGCCATCTGTCACGTGGTCACAAAATGTAATGGGATATTGGTGGGAAGGTTCAGCCTCTGCTGCCATCCCAGCGACATCTGCCTCTGATGTCATGAGCCAACATAACAAAACAGGAGGCATTACTTTCAGAGCAGCCCTCATGCAAATCTATGCCCTTACAATTACAGAGGTAATTACAGACACAGGCAGGCCTTGTAAAGAAATCACCAAGTTCTGACCAATTAAGGCACGAGGTGATGCTGACTTCCTTCCACTCTGAGATGCCTAAAATACTTTTGTTTTCCAGCTGCCATCTACTCTTCACACGCATGAAATAAACCCTTCAACGTCTCACCTAAATTCTCTTTCTTCCTGAAATGATGTGTTATTTTGTCCGGTCTTTTCTGTACTTAAAAAAAGCTTCAAGTCTTGAAGTCCTCACTCATTTCTTACTGAGTTTGAAAAACCATTCTACAAAGTAGGATATAACTATCTTGCAAACCACGTGATTGAGGAAGTGCATCTCTGTGTAACTGTTCTACTCTGGAATCGGTTTGAGATGTCTCAAATTGTAATTGCTTTCTATTAGTACAGGTGCAGAGATCCTTTTTCCTCTAAATACTCACCACAATTAAGTATAACTAACACTTCTGATACAGAAAGTTTAAAATTAAGCATAAAAGAAGGCACTTAAATGATGTAAACTTCATTAATAAGTATGCTATATACTTGGCTTACTTTAAGCAGAGAAACATAGTTGAATATTGCAGGCACCTCTCCAAAGTTCAAGTCTACTCTCATGAAGACTCTCATATTTCAGGTGCATAAGCTCAAATCACAGAGGAATATCTTAAGCATGAAACAGAAAGTGTTTAAATAGGAAGACAAATACTTTTATTATGTAGGAAATAAATCCTCAACTGTTTTTTCAAAATAGCCCTAGTAGAAGCATGACGTTTCTCATACAGAACCAACATTTCATTGCACTAACACCGTCCTCCTTATTAGATGTTTCAGCTCTGCTAATGGTGATTGATTGGCCCGGCATTACGGGTTTGTTGTTTTTCCTACTGAAGGCCATCAAGAACATGTCTGAATTTCGTGGCTATCACATTAATCAAAGGGAAACAAAATCCAAGGACAAGAAGCTAAACAGATGTTTTAAGAATGCGAGACAGAGGCTGTAAAAGACACAGAAGAAAAAATTCAGCCCATTTTGATTTGTGAGGTTAGTTTGCTTAGTGCACATAAATATAGGATTCCTGCAGGAAAAAGCTTCTCACCTGCCACCTGGAAGGATGTAACTGACTTTATGACAAATTCGTCACTCTGTTCTGTTTTCTCTTCTATCCACATGCAGTTACTGCAGCAGCAGCTACTGAAAGGTTACCGGTGCATGTCTGTTCACATATTTAAGGAAAGATTTGCCTTTCAAAGAAATGTGCACTGCTTATTAAAGAATGAGAAAAACAACTCCTAAAAAGGGCTCTTTACACTTTCATTCCTTAGGAAACAGTGCAGCTGTGAGATCTCCTGTTTGACCACCACTGCTTTCATCATGCCATCAAAGACCAAAATTCACTCAGCCAGCATGTACAACAGAGGAACGAACATGCAAGTCCAAAGGGCAACTGACCCAAAATGGAGACCTTGCTCAGGAATTCTTCATACATCTTCCGCTTCCTCAGTGTGCTGCCCTGTTATTAAAGGAGAGAGAAAAAGAAGGCAGGGCATTACACAAAGTATTTTTGTGATTTCTTCCTACGGCTGCTTTTTTTTCCTTTCTCCTTCCAAATCTTAAGCATAGCCAGTAAAAACAGCCAAAGGCAAATGTTTCCCCATAAAATGTCTGGGCAAGTTGTGTTCCTGATAAGCAAAGACAGAAGGAATCAAATTCAGCCCTGGTGTAATTTCACTGACTTCACCACCTTCCCTAGTGTTACTGGACACCAAGGATGAATTGTGTCCATTACTGCAAGCACACATCTAGCTTCATCAATTAACTCCTTAGCTAATTCAATATATATCTTGTTACCAGTGAGGCCCTACAAGAAGGGAGGTTACAATGATAAAGTGCATAAAAGTGCCCCCCTCATGGATCCCATCCTCTCAGGTTAGAAACTCTCTAATGCCAGGAGTGTTTGTGTGCCAGCCTGTGTTTTCACCCTGCACAGAGCTGTATGTATTGCTCCTGCTGAGCAACCTCGTCACATTACCATTTAAACACAGTGTAGATGTTTTGGAGCAGAGAATCCACCAATGTATGCACAGTCAGCAGCACAGTCATTCCCAATTCAGATTTTTTGTGTGATACATTACCAGGAAAAACTTACACTTACATGAACTTTGATCACCATGGAGAAGCCATTCCAGAAAGTGTTTTTGTCACACATTGTTACGAATATATACAATGCAACATGACCAATACAAAAATTACTAATAAGCTAAAGCTCCTGCAGTGACAGCAGTGACTTGGAAGTAGCAAAGAGGAATCCCTTCCACTGTGCTGTTCCTGTACACGACAGCCCATGTCGTTTCTCACTGGACAGACTGTGGTGGATGTCAGAGGCTGCCTGGTGCCTATGAGCCAGACCTACAGAACAGGAGTAGAGCAGCGTGGAGGTGACAATGCTCATCTTCTGAAGAAAGGGAAATGAAGATGGCTTTTATTCTCAGGCCAGAAAGAAGAGAGAAGCAAATGTCAGTGTCTGTATTCTCTCTTCCTACAAGTGCTGCTCAGGTGGGGCCTGATCCAACAACCCCAAATCACAGGCAATTCTTCCACCAAAGCACTGGGCCACAGCTCCAGCTCCTAACAGGAGCACCAGCAGAAGCTGCCGGCTGCCCTCCAACATTACCCTCCTCTCCCAGGCTACCTCTGCTCTGGAATTACCCCAGCAGCAGCAGAAGCCCCTCCGGGGTCTCTGAACCAGCAGCACCAGCTCCCAATGTCCCCCCTCTACACCCCCCCATAATTTCTGAGCCCGGTGATGACAGTTCCCCTCCCGGAGATAGCATCAGTAACCCCGGTCTGACCTCTCTGTCTGACAAACCTGGTTCTCAACCTCGGAGGCCCCTGGAGCATTTGAAGTGCCAAAAAGAAAAAAATGAACTTCAAACGGAGGAGGCTCTGCAAACCACGCCAAATCCTGACAGCTCACTGCGAGACAAAGAACGGAAAGCTGGACTCTGCGCGGTTGTTGCTTTCCTCCCTGCAATCGAGTGGAAACTAGACCGGCAAAATTGACAGCTGTGGAAAACCAGATTGGTGGTTTAGTGTGATGGGCCAGGGCAGCCAGGGACAGATGGGGAAAATGCTTTTAAAATGACTGTGGACACAGATGAATTTTAAGAAGCAGTAATCAGTGGCCATAAGTCCCGCCTGACCACAGCTTGGAGTATTTAGGGATGCAGACGAGACCCAGGAAAGTGGGAATTGCTGGCATCCTGGCAGGGCTGGGCAGTGAGAGCCCATCACTGTGGGACCATGGGGTGTTAGATCTTGGCTAAACTAAGCCAGTGCAGAGACACAGAACTCACTCTGAAGACAACTGGGAAAGGGAACTAATTAATTGAATGTGCTACTATTTGTATTGTGATAGCATCGAGAACCTCAGCTACAACTGGGACTGCTCTTAATGTGTAACTGGTTCCCAGACAACACAGCTGGATCCCCACTCCTCCTCCAGTAGGCAGAAGTCTGGCTCACCTTCATGCACTCACCAGGGCCAGGACACTGCTTTGTTTTCACTGAAGTGCATTTTCCTGCTCAAGCTCTCATAAACACAAAGAGGGGAAGAGATCTGGGGAGACTACTCTAATATAAGCTAAAAAAAAGAAACAGCAGTAGAAATCTTACAAGCAACAAAGCACGTGCTTACTTCCATTTGTATTAATCGTCCTTCCTTCCCATGAATCAGAAAAACAGAACACGTTCACTGCCTACTTTCCCACCTTCACTGATCAGCCTAATATTCCCCTCTTATCCCTGGCCATACATGCAGTGTCACTTCTCACTCACAATTTCCCTTTTATACTTGCTTTGTTTGGTCTAACTACTCATGAGTATGAATTCCATCATACTCCATCATCCACTCCTTCTCCTACCTCCAAGTGGTTTCTGCAGAAGTGTCAACCAGCACTCTCATTGGATATATACTAAACTTGATCGTATGCAGTAGTTTCACAATGTTCCAGAAGTAGACAGCAATGGTATCTGCAAACTGGGAGACAGCAGGTGAGATGTGGTTTGCAACATCATCCTGCAATAAGAAGATGGCCAAGGCTACCTTGGTTTGTGCACTCAAAGACATTATTCAGGAGTGAAGTCTTACCTCCATGGCTCTGATGTGACTTTGCTGGTTTGCCACATCCTGCCTGAGCACCTCCTCTGCAGAGAAGTGCTGCAAAGCTGCACCAAGCCTGAAGAACTGCTAAAACCCTTGAGGAGAGCTAAAATGGAAAGAGCTAAACAACTTCAGCCTGTGTAGCTCAGCACAGCACCAAGATCATAGGTTCGTTATACTCATAACTAGCATGCATGCCTGTAAAGGTTTTAAGCAGACAGCACCTACACATATTTTAGATAAGATAATTTAGTCAGCATAATTTGACATAACTCAAAGTAATAGGAGAAAATTACAAAAATCTACTTTAAGATGAATATCAAAGAGGTTTTCACAACTTAAGATTTATTCTCTTTCAAAAAAGGGTCCCCAAGAGAAGCAAAAATCTTACTGACTGAGCCAGGTAACAACAGTAATGTACACGAACAATTCTGTACTGGCAGGGTTTTTGATGGCATGTTCTAGAAAGCCTTTATTACTTCAGCTTTTTCTCACCTATTAATATCTTCGTATTTCAATAGTCACTGCTTCTCCTCTCCCCACTTTCCTTTGTTCTGCTTCCCCCCAGTTCAGAGCTGACTTGAACGAGCTTTCCTTAAAGCAGTGGTTCTCACTAACTGTGAAGTGCTGTTCATGTTCTAAGCTGCAGTGCTGCTCCCTGAAACAGTCTCAAGGAGAAACAAGTCACTTGCGTTTGCCAATTCCAACCAGGGAAGTGTTCAAAGACATTTGAGGACCACTTAAAAATACACAGGCTATAAAAAATGAATGCTGCAGAGATTACAACACATCGTGTTGAATAGGACTGATGCATCTATTTTCCAGCTGTCTCTTCTTCATTTCCGCTGGTTTCTTTTTCCATGTTCCTCCCCATTTCTCTAGTCAGGTCTCTGCCCTCCTTCCCCTCTGCTTGCCTCTTTGCAAGCACTCCAGCTTGCACTCTCCACCACTCGCAGTGCCCTCTCTTATGCTCCCTTTCTTCGACACTGCAGACAGGTTGGCAGGAGTTGACTGGGTCCTTCCTAGAAATCCCCACCTTCAATAAGAAGCCCAACAAATGGCTACCGAAAAGCAAAGCGTGGCTCAAGTTTCAAATAAAAAAGCTATGCTGGCAGGTATGCAGCTGGCAGGAAGCACTGGAATGGCCTTCTGGGCTGCTCCAGCCCTGGTTAATCCCTGGGTAAACCTGATATTGAACGATGCTTAGGGTGTACATTCTTGCAGGAGCCTGAAAAAAAAGTCAACAAAACAATGCAATACTGGCCCTGAAAACAGAATACCCCACAAGACCTTGGCTGCATGGATGTTAAAGAGAGTGCAGGCTTCATGTTTGCTTTATGTTTTGGCAAGCATGCAATCTACATTTTATGGAAATGCTAAGTCCTCCTGACTTGATTTTATCTCAGTGGAAAAAGGCACTTGCTAAAGAACGTGTACTCAGATTCAAAGCTTTGAAGAGATGGCAAAACAAAGCCAAAATACCATTAAAAAAATGCGACACAAAATTAGGAACTGTCTAACATTTCCTTGTCACTGCTTATATCCCAGTATTATAGCTCATTTTCCATGAGCAAAATCTGCCAAACAAGTAAAAAGTACTGCATGCAATGCAATTTCACTCTCAGAGCCAGGTAACTTGGAGCATGGGAACCATAGGAGAGTTAAATCATCCTGAACCAGGCCCTCTTGCAGAAGAAATTACAAGAAATTAATACTTCAAATTTCCTCAGTCTGGGAACTGAATTGTCTAGGGGATCAATCTGATGTAGGGATACAGACATTTGCTTCTCTGGTATTTGTGGTATTTGCCATATTTAGAATACAAATATTGTACTACCCTGGGATGTTCCCCACTCTGTGATGCTCTTGAATCCCAATAGCAAAGAAGAAAGCAGCAACGCTTTAGCAACTGAATTAGATAAGAATCCTAAGGCAAAAAATTCCTTTGCATCTCTCCCAGAAGAATGTAAATAAATACAGAACACATACACACAGTTGTGTTTGTGGGTGAGCACGCAGAGAACGTGTGGGTAAAAAACTGCAACAGTGTGAAAAGCATGCAGCTTAGCACAGATACCTTTATGTAACAAATGGGACACACAGACGTGCAGAAATTTGTGAGAGCACTGAGGGGGGAACACGCTGAAGTGGTTTTTGTAATCCATCTGATACAATGAATTTCATGCTGTAACACTTCATGAAGGACTGCAATGAAAGTCAAGCAGTTTCTCTGCAAATCCTAACAAAAAGAATGATCCCAGCATTTACAACCATCACAGCTGCTAAAACAAACTTGAATGTGACGTTTAAGCTATCAGGGTACCTGGGCTGAGGCAATGAAATATAAAGAAAAACATCTATTTTGAAGAGGTTTTTTTGGGACAGTCTCAAGTAATAAATGGCTGACAAAGGCAACTAAAAGCCAGCAGGAGCTTTTTGCATCAGGCTTTGTCCACCCAAAAAGATGGGAAACCAAAACTCCCAAACCTCCTGTCACACGTTTTATTTATCCCACAAAGCAGTCAGTATGGATGAGACAGGTAAGTGGGGAAAATGGCAGTGAGCAGAAACACAGACCAGAACTGACTGCGTGTGAAGCAAAGAACCAAAGCAGAGCCTGCAAGGAGAAATGAGGCACGGAGTCAACATCTCATGACAGGATAAAATCTTTTTGGCAAGGGCAGACCTGAGGGCATGATTCACAAATAAATATTTACAACTTGAATAAAACTTCAATGCCAGCTTGAGAAAAATGGGACTGGTCACGGCCAGGAAGGAATGCAGACAAAAGGAAAAAGCATCACGGGTCAGGGAGGGATTTTATCTGACTACAGAAAAGAAAAAAATAAACCACCATCTTTGGACGAAAGTATTTGCAAAGAGGAAATAAATTAAAAAAATGCTGTTCCCTCTCAGTTTTCGAATCATTGTAAATGATATATTTCAAAAGTTATCCTAAGCGTTGCTGCTCCTCATTTAAAATCAGAAGCACTTCTACATCTAAAATATCCAGCAGCTTTCTAGAAACACGAGGTTAGAGGCTAAATGGCAGGAAATCGTGTTTCTGGGACTTGAAAGGCACCAACTACTGCCTCTTAAAACCAACTACAGCAAAACCAGCCAAGTAATGGTGGAGTTAGCCTCAAGTATGAAATACAACCACTGAAACATGATGTAATTAATTCTTGGGCTCGAGGAAATGTGCAGAGAGACACTGTAACCTGCCCTCACATGAATGCACGGAGACAGGTGTCTCATTTCACCTACAGCCAAGGAATTATCCACGTACAAAGAAATGAAAAGATGACAGAATCCATGTAGTATGGATAAGGAAACTGCATCTGAAGTGGACAGCGCGAAAAACAGGGCACCTGCAATACCTGCAGCAATTAATTCACCTCGCTGCCTGAAATATTTCATATCTAAGTACTGGGAAAATTACAATTATGATGTTTGAGCGTTGAATGTAATTGAATTTTTAATGGTCCCAGCTGTGAGGGAAATACAGAAGTATCTTGCAGAAAAGTCTCAGTTACTGCTGCCTGCTTCTCTACATTGGGAAGCATTGAAGAATTTCACCCTGCTTAACAACACAAGAGAGGATCGTGTGTTCGTCACCACTATTCCTGTATCCTGTCCTGAGCTACCAAGATGACATCTGGGCATGGAGTGTACCTCCATCAGCTGAATTCTGGATGTCAGTGCGATGCTCATTCATGTGACAGAGAGTTCAGATAATGGAATACGGAGAGAAAACAGTAATGCTTCACAGAGACATCCAACAGTCACTACAGGTATAAACAAAGATCACACTTACACTCCGTTTCTTAAGAACTAATCATTCAATTGTAAAATCCACTCAATCCTTTTGCTGATTTTTCAGTTACCTGCGACATCCACTGGAAATAAATACAATCTCAAAATGCACAATCCTTTATTATGCTGAGACCATAATTTAATTTCCTCCCATAATGAAATAATGCATCTTTTAGGGACAAATTCTATAGAGAAAGAAGTAAGATTTAAGAAGAGCTGTCTGTTAATTATCAAAAGAAAAGAGGACCATTTTATGGGGAAGGAAACAATACACACCTTGAGATCAGAAACAAACACCACCCGAAAAAGTTACGATGTTGCTAAAGTAAATCATCAGAATTTCCATTTTAAACTCACAACTCAAGAACTGGCAGCAAATCCATAAGCCAGCACATAGCCCAGGTGCCCAGAAGGTCTTCTGAGCTTTGCTGCAGAGACCAAGGAGTTTAAAAGGAGCAGAGCCATGAGCCCTCAGCACAGATCGCAGCATCACATCCTGTGATGTATGCAGCTGTCTGCTGGCCAACCAGATGGAGGGTAGAGTTTACATGAGGCTTTATTTTACAATTTCCCTAGCACTGTCTGCCTTGAACAGTTTGTAAAGCAAACTGGAAGACCCCATAGGCAAGGTGTAGTGATGAAAGATATTTTGATGTACATGAGGAGACCTGCATTAGCTTAGGTGGGTACCGGAGGCTTCTTGAAGCTTTCACAGCTGTCTGCAGCTATTCATGTATAGCAGTTATTACATATATTATTCACTTGCATTTCTGAGTCAGCATCTTTGTGCTGAATGTTGTCACCTTTTACTTCACTTAGTTACTTAATGTTTTTGTGATGTCCTTTCTCTTTTATTTAGGAACAGAGACCGCAGAGCTTTCTATAATCAGTGCAATCTGAACAGAGTAGCACTGGCACTACAGAAGAAAGCAAAAATATCAGTTCCATAAACAAGTCATTCTCCACAAACTCACCATTAAGATGCGCCTGTAGCTGTCCCTGTCGATGCCCCACAGCTTGAGATCTGTCTTGGCCTTGACCGTGGCAGCCCTGGGCGTTCCATAGATCAGTGCCAGCTCCCCAAAGCTGCCTCCTTCTCCAATGCTGGTGACCCACTCTCCATTGACATAAACCTGTCACAGCAGAACACAAAATGAGAAGCAAAATGAGACCAGGGTCTTAGACGCCATTCCCTCCTCCTGCCCATTACCTATCAAGTTATTAGCAATTTCCTTTCTATTAGTCAGTGCTGTGGGCACTGAAAGAAAACCAGAGCAGAACACTTTCCTCAGTCAGTCAAAAAGAGGGCAACCACCTGCTTTGTGGACAGAATTTCAAGTCATCTTGCTTCAGCACAATGACCGTATGTTCTCTCCACAGTTCCAGCTCCCATGGTTAACTGGCACCAGGCTTTTCCTCTTGTGTTCAAGGCTCAGAGAGTCAACAAGTAGAACTGTCACAACTTTGGCTTTGGGATGCTGAAAAGCACCATGGCCATGAAATGAAAAACACTGAAAAAAGGGTATCTTCTTTGGAAAAGAAACTCTTTTTGCCCCCTAAGCTTAGTGCCTCCAACGTACAAATGTATCAGAATCTCCTCCCTTAGCAAGGAGTACCGAGTGCGTTGGATTTGGGTAGCTTCCCAAATCCTCCACAAAATTACCCTTCCATAACTCAGGAATCAGAACATACAAAGCACTAATTCACCCAAAGGCTGCTTAGGCAATATATCTTCCTGAAATACAGTATGGGTCGATACCACTATAATTTGAGGCATATAATTGGAGAAGCCCTACACCTGGGTGCTATGTAAAATCTTCAGTGTAGAAAAGAGGACTTAGGAAGGTGTTTTACACAGGGCTCCATTTGCCATTGATGATACAGACCATGAGACATAACGTGCATTCTAAGGCTGGTATGGGCTGTGTATTCTGCAGCTTGCTTGAAGCCTTGCTGCTATAAACCTCCACATTAAGCCCTCTTCATCCTACTCATGTGTCAGTGAGGTCAGAGGGTAGGAAAGGCTGTGTGCACTTATCCAGTGTAGAGTATGTCCCAGTCTGTTACAGACCAGTAACAACAGAAATCAACTAGAATGAATTCAATTCCTATGGAAACTTTGTGAAGAAAAACACTGTGAAGAAAATATGCAGGTGTTCTTGGCTTCAGCAGGAAATCATGGGAAAGCAAAAGACCATAGCATATTATCAATTACTGGTAACAGATGAGCAGTTTTAAAAATACATGAATTAGAGCCACACTCAAGCTAGGCATGAGAAAAGGTGGTGAGCAAAATAAATGAACTGGGGTCAAAACTCAATGAATTGTCAGTATTAATTTTACTTCTACTTTCATTTTATGATGAAAAGGCATATTATAGACTACAGCTGGAATCAATCTCAATTTATCTTCCCGATACCCAATTAAGATCTGATCCAGCCCCTCCTGAGGTCAGTGAGAACCTGGTTGAGTAGGAGCTAAATGAGGCCATGGAGCAGTTCAGCTCATCAAGAGACCTCTTGGCAGCCAGCTGAAAAGGGACACCATTAGCATCCCTGCTGAACTCAGGGCACTGCTGCAGCTCTTTGTGCTCCTGGAGCATCTGAGGATCAAGGGGTTGATATAAAGGGTAAAAATAATCCAGAACAGGCGGGTGGTAGCAGGCTGCCAAGAACGAAGCCAAGCTACAAAAACGTGTTTGCGCTTCTTTTCCTTGCCACCACAGAAGTGGCGCACAGGAGAATCTCAACATCATCTCCTCTCAAACCTTCACACTCACTGCAGAAAAAATCTTACAGAACTTACTTCTGATTCTTCTCAATCCACCCATGGCAAACCTGGCCACACGTGTGAATGCAGGGACATGCTCTTATACTGAGAGGTACTTCACCAGATGGACCTGGGTTTGCTACAGCAAATTCATGTCCTCAGTGAAAATTTCAGGGTCAATAAGGACAGTCCAATAGACTTGAATAAACTGTGGAGTCCACTGTGAATGTCAGTGCTCTCATTTTTAGCACAGAAAAGATACGTGTGTTTCTATATGCTCTTTTGTCAGAGAGCAGATTTTGTTGCTGCATGAGAGGTAGTTTGGTAAAATGATTGGTTAAACGCAGTGACAACTTCTTTGAGGAATATAAACCAGGGTTTGGATTGTAAGCAGAAAATAAACTCATACCAACACATAATTCTTCAGCAGTATGGTTGACACTTCTTTTTAAAGCAGTATGCATTGCATGACTGTCGCCCAGAGGGGAATTAAGATGGTAAACTCGAGGCAGAGCAAGCCATGGACAGACATTTACAGTTGCACAGTTGCTGTAAACAGAGGCTACTACAAATCTGCTGTAAGACTTCTTTAATTTTACTGTCTTACTTGACAAGGCTCCCCAAAATATGTTTGACATCCAGCCTGTAAACTGTTTATGCAAACAGTCATCCCTCCACCCCAAGGGTGTCAGGTTTAAAGTACTCTGAAGAGAAACCACATCACTGATCTGACAGTCTTTGGGCTCAGCATTCACTACCCCAATAAAAATGTCATTTCCAATATCAGTCTCCAAAAGGACAAAACAGCTTGAGAATAACTATTGTTTTCTAAGAGGAAAACCACTGCACTTCGTTCTCTGGAAAGGCCTAAGTCATCCATCAACTTTTGTCTTCACGATGATGCTGAAGTGCACCGATGAAATATTACAATGCCATTCTGCCCTTAGACAGAGGCTCCACGATTCCCTTTAAATCACTTTAAAAGAAGATAAGAAGTAAAAAGGAAAGGAGCTCTGTTTGTAAGGTGTAGGAAGTAAAGCTATTTTAGGCTCAGAACACCTTATGAAAGCCAATATTACATGGCAGCAGCTGAGATGATCTTCTTTATCTTAAAAAATACTGCGGTTTTGGCTCAACCATCTTTAGGCAGTTGTGAATTCTAACCAAAGAAGCAAGGATACAAGGGAATTAGTTCTAATTATTACTCAGCCTGCTCTGTAACAATTGGAACCTTTTTCTTTCTTGCAGCCGAGCAGAAATGTGTGACTGCAGATGCCCAAATAGGAAGGGGAATAAAGCCAGCAGGACCACCTAGGTCCCACAGATCAAGAGTATTTAAGATTCCTATTGTTTTCCACCATTTAGTACCAGCAGTACAATTCTTGTGGGCTGGAAAATCATGCAATTTCATTCACTTCAGGGATTTTTTAGGAGGCAAGTGGGAAAAACCTTCTGAGAACATCAGCAGTTCCGTTCTCCATAGGCCACGATATACATATGTGCTGTGAGAGAATCTGCAATGAGTCACACCATGCTCAGCGCCGTCGGAATGCATCTTGGCCTCATTCATCTTCATCCAGAGAAGCACAGTGTGACCTTAGCATTAGCAGTAACAGAGCCACGTTACTCCAATGCAGGAGAGGAACGTGGATCTCTGAGCTTCATAGAAGTGACTTTACTACGTTCTCACTCATGCGTTGCTGATTTCAAGCAAACTTTTTAGCTTTTGTTTTTTTTAAGGCCACTTTGTGATCTGTGTGGACAATCTAATTTGTTCCAGGCATTGCAACTTTCAGATCTTAAATCGTGAATCTGTTTGTAATAATTTGTGCTTTGTGTCTTGTCATGCCTTAATATTTGTTATCCAAAAATGAAGATGAGGCTTATTTCTTCTTGGAAAAATAACCAAGTCTTAGCCATGAGGGATATTTATATGTGGGTAGTTTTCCCAAATAAAGCCAGTGCTTTATTTGTACTGTGAATGTGCTTTTCTCAAATATAAACACACAAACTTGGAGGCTGCTCTCAGAATCCTAAAAAATCAAGGGGAAAACTTCAAACTTTAAAAAGTTCTGTTTAAAGTCTCAAAAAAAAAATATCCTTCTGAAATTAGAAAGGCATTGAACAGGAAGAACCATAAAGATGGAAGAATTCAAACAAAAAGCAGCCTATGGATTATGAAATATAACTAGTTTTAAAATCCACATGTAAAATTTAAAATTCTCACATAAACCACTGTGTAATTTTCATCTTTGTATATACGAAGTAGACAATCTGTATACACAAATAAGGGTTTCAAGAAGATCTGACCTACAGTAGAAAGATAATCTTAATGTATAGCTCCAAATATAGCTTAATACAGCACAGAAGCTATTTAAGAAAAGCACTGAAAAGTTTTCATCTTGATTTTCACCGAATTGCATTTCAATGGCTGTTGTTTTACAAGAAGAAAACCTGAGAATGTCTGTAGAAAGTTGCTGTGACATTAAATAGAATGGGAAGTTGCTGGCTCTAAAAAAACAACATCTATTCTGAAAGAGCAGTTGATGGTGCTTTTTAAAGTATAAAAAAAAATAAAAATGAGGTTGTAGGATTAAAATAATAAACAGGAAGTCTTTTTATATTTAGAAATATGGATTAGAGATTTTTGCAAGACACATACTTTAGCAGGTGCTTTCAAGATCTTTAATGGAAACTATAATTTAAGCTCTGCCAGATTTTGGCACACGTTCACATTTCCTTGAGCAGAACCCTTCTGGTAGGCAGCTGACCTCTGAGACTTCCACCCTCACGCCTTTAACAACTCTCTATGAACTGCATGTGGATGCAGCACCAGGTCAGGAGTTTATGGTTCCTCTCAGCCCCGAAAGGCGAAGAAGGAAGGCTGTGACTGACAACTCCATCACGTCCTCTCACAGCCCGTGTCTGCCCTGGTCCACTACCTTTCCCATCCTGGCCCATACACCTGCTGCATGAGAGAAGGAAAGCAGGTTCTCCCACACGTACCCCATTACTGGTGTTCTGGGATGTGCTGCAAAGCAGAAAGGTGATGGCTTGCACTGCATTGAGCTGAGCAAGCATACATGGCAGACAGCAAGCTGCTGTAAAGAAATGACCTGAGAATAACAGCCAGCAATAAGAACCTTCCTCCTATAGCTCCTATGGCTTTCACAATCACTGAAGAACACTTTCATTTCTTTAAATCAAGTAGAGGTGCTACCCACACATCTGTGGATGTCGGCTTTTACTGCCTTGAAAACCGCTGCTATATAACTGTAAGTCTTCCTCACTGCCATTAGGAAGTGAGATTAAAAACCACTTCTGTACAACAATTTGCACTCATCTCCTTAGCCCACAGCTCATGTGAGCAGGGCACAGTGCTTGCCAACTGAGGGAGGGGCTGCATCTTATATGGCTGTCCACACTAACAGCACGAAGGAAATGTACAGACACTTCATCCTGTGGGCATGATAACAGGGCTGGTTTATACTCTAAGAAAGGCCAAGAGCTGAGGATAAAGTGTTATTATATTTAAAGATACGTTAATAAATTGTAGTTCTAATTTGACTCAGATTATTTCTAAGCAAACATGAGAATCCTCTTACTCTTCTGGGTGCCCATCCCCAGACTAACAGCGAATTACTTCAGAATGTTTGGGGTTTTCTCTCAACTCACACCACCACTCACTGCTTTTGTTGTTCCGACTGTGTTGGTACTTTGTTTAGTTTTGTTCTCTTAGTTGAAACATTTTCAGCTCTGCCCCAACTTTCTTCCAGGAGACAGAGATTTTATGATGGTAATTGCCATTTCCTTTATGTATATCTTTGCATGTGCACTTGTTGCTATCAGTCACAATGTACTCAGAGCAAACTGCTCCTTGAATCCACAAGTCCCATTGTACCTGATCACGGAAACAGAGAAAGCACAGCCTGGCCTGGGGTGAAAAGCCTCGATGCACTTGCCAACACTGGCTGAACTAGGCAGATAATGGCTCGAGGCTGTAAGTCCCGGGGTCAATTATCTACTCTCCAAGTAGCTTTTTTTTCTTGGAGAAGGGTGGAAGCATGCCAAAAGAGTATCTGGCAAGGCTTAAATGAACTGCAGCTCGGTTACTAGCGGTCTGGGTTTTCTTCGGACAAAAAGGATTTTAGCACCGCTGCCCTGAAAGTGGAAGAACTTTTCCTGGGGAGCATCTGCAGCATGATGGTGCACAGCCATGGGCCTGGGATCTGCCACAGGAGCACATTACTGGACATGAGCAAACAGCAGTCTTGGACACCATTTTCAAAACCATCTATACTGCTTAAGAGCCTGCACGTACTCGCATTGCAGTGGCACTCAGACCACTCTGTTGCTCCAGCTGTTTTTTCAAATTTTACCCTACACGCTATCTCAGAAGCCTCAAAGGATCTTGAAATGCTCTGGGATATACAGTATTGCTCTGCCTAAAACGTTAATGAACTCCAGAAGTCATGAAAAATGATGTGGACACACGTATCTTCTTGGGCCACTTGTGGTCAAGAGCATTTATTAAAGAATTTCGATTTTATCCACAAAAAAAACAGGCAGAACCTGTGATAGACAAGTAATACATTGTGTTAGATGTCTATCACAGGTTCTGCTTGTTTTGTGTTTTTTTTAACCTTCAAGAAGGTGTTTTTGAATTATGTCAGGTTATACCTGGGAAGGAAACTAAGGTTTCCATCTTACCTGACAGAATATAGCCCCTGGTGCTGTAAGCAAGCCCTTCTCAACATTTGCCACCTTGCAAAAGTTTTGAGATCATTTTCTCATGCCATTTATATTCCCCCTCTCCCCAGGCCAAACAGCAAAGAACCTTTTCTCAAGGGCTTTCAGTCAGGACTGATTGTTTTAAAGAGAATTAATCTTCAAGATGTGCATTTATGTACATTTGTGCATCTGATTCAAAGCCAAGGAAGTAATTAAGCCAGGTACAGGGCCTGAAATGAGTATTTTAAAACTAAATTTTAGCACTGTTCTATAAATACTGCCCTTTTATTTTCTGTCACTGTGGATGTGGCAGTGTTTGCTATTGAGAGGTATGCCTGATAGGAACAGTGAGTCAGACGGATTTCCTGAGCAGCAGCTTCCAGAGGCAGAGGCAGCGTGTGAGGTTTCTCAATTCCCAGCCATACCAATTAGATGGTCTCCTGCCACAAACACGCTTCTAAAAAAATAACTTTCACTAAAATAACTGTATGCTCCTGCCTGCCTTTAAAACAAATCACTTTCTTCTTTAAAGCCTCCGAACAAAACTCATCTGGGCATCTGAGGAGCGCCGCTGCTAATGAGCAGTCCTGCTCAACAGCACTGGTATGCAAGGTGTGCAGGAATTCAGACACATGAGAATCTTGCAGCAGAACTGAAAAGGAGGCAGCCTCATGCAGCACAGAAACGATAAGAGGTGAACAGATCACAATTTGGAGGGCGGTTTCAGAAGAAATCGTCATTTCCAAGTCTTGCTGATTAACCCACCACATATTCCTGCAAACATTTTGTGGTCTCACAGATCACTTTACACTTATAATAATCTTTGCTTTATTAATACGCTGTATTGTTCACGTATTTGGACCTAATTTTAAACACAAATTAAGGCTTCTAAGATGAAACTAACTGCCTGAGGCTGCATCTCAATTTGGAAGGAAAGAAAAAACCACATCAGCTAACTGATTAAAGAAAATATTTTCCTTTTGGCTGATCTTAACCCTCGGGTGCATTCCAGCATGGTGGCCTGCTCTGCCAAAGACTGCACACCTCCAGGTGTGGTTAGGGTTCTGAAGATAATGTCATTTGCTTGTTTTTGATACCATATTTTCCTGCTTGGAATGGACAAATAAGCTAGGATGTAAAACACGCCAATTATGAAATTATGCACAAATGACTTAACACAACAAAAGCAAAGCAATGAGACCAATACTGTGAAATCTATTCCAAGAACAAAGGAGACAGAACCACAGAACACTGCTGGATCAAACTGCGTGCCAGAGCATAAAATTGTATTAGTTAAATTCAAAGTAAGTATCAGACTGTAAGTTTGTACTTACATCCACCTCGCCTTGGTCAATCACATAGAAGTTGTCTCCTTCATCACCTGGAAGCAAAATATAAAAGGTGATTGCTTCCTGAAGGTCTGCTAGATTACTCAGTAATTTCCTGTCTCCATGTTTAATTCTGTAGATATTTGCACAGGTTTGTACAGCAGATTACTTACAGGGAGAAAGAGCTGTGCCTTCATAAATCAAAATGTCACGACCATTTCTTCCTAGTATCTTTCACTTTGCATTAATTCATCTCTTTTGATTGATCCAACACTTCATTGAATGTAAACATGCAAGAGGCTTTATATCCTGAGGGCACTGAACTCCTCCACAACACGCTGCAGGCATGCAGGTAAGTTGCCAAGTGTGATAACTACGATACAGCTACTACGATACAATGAGGTGTTGAATATTCCCAACAACCATGAAAATATTTTCCACCTCTAATTTCTCTCAGCTAGAATGTGCCACTCTTATGCATTCTGAGCTGTGCTTCATTTCCTGGCTATCTGAAGTTAAGGAATGAATGTCTTCATTTAAAATACTGTAGCATTTTGAAACCATACAGATCTACCACTGAGGTTAAGTGTTGGAGAGCTCTACATACATTCAGCAAAGATTGTGCCTACATCAATGGATTTATCACATAGCCAAAACACCTACAAACTTCTGGAATATGGACATTCTTCCCATTAAGCAAACAGGGCGAACCCTCAGGTGATGGGATGTGAACTGTGTGATCACAGCAAACATGCAAGGATGAAAAAGGGGGGAAGGCTTACCTTGCTGTATGACAGTTTCTCCTGCGATGTGTGTAACAGGAAACATGGCATCAAATATGTCACTGGAAAAGGAAAGAAATGTTCGTTCATGAACCAGACTTATTTCTTATCTAGCCAGTAGACCTACGTTCATTGTTCCATTGAGACTTCATTAACAGATACTGCAGAAAAAGAAAAGGAAAATGTTAGATGTGACTGGAAAATGAGCCCCTGCTTGGCAAGAAGTCAAAACAACTAGCTTGGCACAAGTTGTGCTTTAAAACTGAGACTGTGATTCAGTGCACGCTATTTTGAAAGAACTCCTGAATAAAATGCACATTGACCACTTCTTGTAGCACTGTGCAAACAAGGCAGCTTGAATATTTTACTGTCTAAGAAGACAGATTTCAGATTTTCAGCTGCAATCACTATGTGTCCCGGCAGTAACTGCTAGATGCCTGAATGGGAGCTCTGCTCTTGTGAACATCTGGCCCCACATGTACAAGCAAAACCTGTTCCACAATGCAGAGTATATTTGGAAAGGTAGATGGCTCTAAATTAATGTAGCATAACAACTGGCTAGAGATTACACTTACAGTGCAGAAGATGGGAGTCCAAACTCTGACAGTCTTAGTTACACTTTGGTGAGCTACCAGTGAGAAGGGAATCTGACCGATGCTATAGAAACACTGAAGCTACAGAAGAGCCTTATGCTCATTAATCATTGCTGAATTACACACCTTACTGTGTTCTTAAGCATACTGTCACATATCCTTAAAAGGCCAGGCAGAGCAGTGAGGACGGGAACGCACCCTGCACCAACACTTCGGGCAACTTGCCCAAATCCAGTCCTTTGTTTACTGAGGGATACAGCAGGCTCCCTGGAGCCTGGGCTTCCTTTCCCCACACCGGCATTTTGGGGAACTTACTATTTTCAGATGCATGAGCAGTACAGAGAAGGGTGCTCCCCACCTCTCTTCCCCTTCCTACGCATCAGGGGCTAAGGAAGCAGCTCCCCAAGGCAAACAAAAGGCAGCCAGGAGGAACTGCTGGTCTTTGTGGGATCAGCCCATTCATGGACCACCAGCAAGAGATGACATGCTTCAGACTGGGATGGAGCACATTCCTCACAAGCATAAAGGAGTGCAAGCAGTGAAGAAAAGTAAAATTTTCATCAAAACAGCCAGAAGATCAGCAACAAACCCACGTTGCATTTCAATGCCTTATAAGGGAAATGCGTATTGTAAAATCCCATTATTAGCTTATTTCCTGTTCAACTGTTCCAGAATTTATTCAGGCTCAGCTCTAGGAAATGTTTCACTCCTAAGTTCAAATTGGTCATGTCTTTCCTCTCAAGTAGCCAGAACGGTTTTGCTCCCAGGGCTGAGATGGAGCACCACAGCTCTGTGTCAGCACCTCCTGCTGCTCCAGGGTACCTGCAAAGGATGCTGAAGCCTATGCTAAGACAATATATTTTGCCTCTGTTGTTTCATCAGGCCCACTCTGTGCCACTCTTATTCACATTCAGGAAATGTGTCCATCACAGCTAACAAGCCAGCTCAGAGGTTCTATGGACAACAAATTTGTTGGTTTTGAGTACCGAAGCAAAGATGTACATTAAATTATTCTGAAAAGTAAAAGGACTGTATTCTAAAATCCAACAAACTCATTCCTAATGAACTTGAATGAGCTCAGCATTTCTCTGGTTCGAGACTTCTCTTAGCAGAAAAGCACGAGCATGCAGCAGGCTGTGCAGCTCCTGTGCCCACACTCAGCTGAGCAGCTGAGGTTCAGATGTGATGGGGGAAAGCACCACTAGAACTGAACTGAAACAGTCACTGGAGGACCGTGTGTCAATCAGGCAAGTCAAACTGTTCTTTAGTAGCTCCGGGACCTGGAAATTTTGTACCACAGAGCCTCCTCTGCCTCCCCATGATCCCCCCTCCCCTGTGCCTGCTCACCTCACTGAGCTTTAAGAAGAGTTCTGCACCATTTACAGGAGGAAGAGGCACTCTGCAGGGCAGAGAACGAAGCCTTCGATGTGATGCATCCAAAAATAGACACGTCACTGTGAATATCAATAACCAAACCGAAATGTGACTGAGCAAACTTGGAAACTCTTTTTTGGAACAGAAACGCAGAGGAAGTAACTACCCACAATTTCAGCCTTTCATCTTTGCTCTAAGGCTGCATTTTATTTATAACTTAACAATTGACCGTACAAACAGTGCCCAATAAATTATGTATAGCACTGCACCCTTCTTCAAAATGTTCCACAAGTCATTTCCACAACACTTTGCAATTTTTTTTTCAAAAAACTCTTTAGTAAAAACTCACACACTAAAACTTCCAGTTGAGGTGTAATGAGCCCAAAGACTGTTGGAAGGAACAGCAGTTTTACATGAATATTTTTCTGCCTCTGGCATCACAAATACAGCATCATTCAGCAAAGGATTCACGAGACGAAGTCTTAGATATTTGAAGGGACCTCTGAAGGACATGACATCAAACATTAGCCTACAACACACATGCACAAGTTATCCAAAGTCACGGTGATGCTGATTTATATTTCTAAAGCAAAACGATAGGCATTCCTTAGGGAAAGAAATACACCAATATCACCACTGTCACTGGAAACACAGTCCCGTTTCTTTCTCCTTGGGAACTATTGTTCTTAACTTATATGGTTAGGCCAAGATCTCTCACGGTGATTAATGAGTCGGGGTGTTTCTGCTTTCGGATGCCCAGTTTGACATTCATTAAACAGACTCAGATCTCAGATGATACGGATCAGGAGGCAGCCTCAAAGTTTCCCAACCTACAAGTCTGGCAGCCAAAAACCGGGACATTTAGAATAGCACCAAAGAAAATCAGCCCTCTGGAAATGACTGTCATCAAATGTAGCAAACACTTACGGTCCCTGCATGAAATCTGGCTTTTCATTTAATTCAAACTAAGTGTAAAATCCATTTTGAGAATTTTCTTATTGCCTTTATTCACAGTTGCCGAAATAAACATGTCACAAGGATCAACATGCCAAAATGCTTTGAAAATTTGGAAAGTTTGTTCCTGACTCAAGCCAAAATGTGGAATTGCAGTAAGCAGACATATCTTCTCTCTTGCAGTCAGCCTATGCTCCGCATCCAGTTCCAGCCATGTGTCCTGGGTCTGAACTACACGGAGAAAACAAGTGAAGCTTTAAATACTGAAGGAGCTAAGAAGTGGCACTCAGAGGAGGCACAAATAATCTAGGCAGGGCCAAAATATGGGTGGTTGCTTTTTTCCTGTATCTTGTGCCTCTTTTTGAGCCATTCAGAATCACTCACTGGCCATTACAGTTAAAGAAAGGCCCTCACCAACACGGTGCCAAAGCAAAGACTGTAGCTACATTCTGCTGCCGTTCTGCACACGTAGGTAGATGCCCTTCTTGCCTTGGAAGGCATTGTTAAATAATTAAACACAGACACACACATGCTCATTCCTAAATTACAGCATAAAGAGAAAGCCAGAAAACCACTAGTTAAGTTTTCACCCAATGCTGAACTGCCATGATTTCATCTTCTCTGTCTGAGCTGCACCACCAAGAACACAGCAGCCTCTGTCTCCTGCCTCCACACCAGCACTAAACTGTTGACACCAACTGTGCAAGCAATGCTGTGTGCTGAACTGATGGAAAGGGTTTGATTTTTTGCCAGGGCTTTTGTTATTGTGCTCTAAACGAGAATTGCTCGCAGGGATTTCCTTATTTTGTTCAAATGGAAATGTTATCGTTTGCCATGTTTCCAGATGATTTGTGCAGGTAATGGAAGAAGAAAACAGGGCTCCAGCTCTGAGATTTCAGCAGCTGTTTCATGAGACTGCAAACACAGGAGATGCATCAGTGCCTCCTGGGCTCAGCATCAGCATCCAGAGGGCTCCTTCTCACCCTCTCGAGAGTCCACACTTCTGATAGGCTCTGTAATTTTTTCACAACTTCCCTGCCTGCTTCCAGAGGATTTGCACCTGGTTAATTGTGGCACTTGGAGCCAACCAGAAGGTATCAGGGACAATTTCTGGCTTGGAACTGTAGCCGTAGGTGGGATTGCATGTACATGAATATTCACATCTGGATCCGAAGGGAGACGCTAGCGTGATATGACTGATGTATTCCAGAGAGACTTCTGCATGTTTAATTCCTTGTAACTTTTTGATAATATCATTCAAAAAACCAAAAAATTTACAAGAAAAGCATCTGAACAGCATAGAACATACAGAACGGTTAACTAGTCCAACAAAGTGAAACCAAGAAATGTGTTTAGACATGAAATCTCTATCTATGCAATCAAAAAATACCATCTGTCTTCTTAGGGAATATAAAAATGTACGAAACTTTTTCAAAAAGGTCAAAGATATCAAAGAGCTGCAGCAAGTCTTAACACATGAAGCGTCTTCCACGAGCATAAGGGAGAACTGCAGACAACTGAGGTCAGGGCTGCAACCTTAAGGTCTGATCCTCTGCTGTCTGTCATTTGTGTGACTGTGATACCTGCATGGGCTGAGCCAACTCCTGCTTCATGCAGAGAAGGAAAACTCCACTTGAATCAACGAGACTGCAGCTGTTTATACCAGCAAAGAATCTATCACACTGATTGCAAAATAAATGTGATGAAACACTTTGCTGATTTAATTCAGTAGCATTTTATATACCCTGCTTGCCAAGACGCAAATGACTGTGCTAAGAGGAAGCTCGCAGAGAGGGCAGGCCTGAGAGCTTCTCTTTCTCGTGAGAAAAAGTGAATGACAAAAATAAATCATCTCATCTGCTTTTGCACTGAGGCTGCCTGGAGTCAGTGCGGAATATGAGATAGGCAAAAAAAAAGTGCAGTGCAGGTAATAAAGCACAGGCAATGGGCAACCAAGAGCAAGCTTGTTAAAACAAAGCGAGAGAACAAGGATTCCAAGCACTTTCAGGACCAGACCATGGCAATGGCCAAAATAGGGAAACTATGTAAGACAATTTATCAGTTTCACAATCAGATTTCTTTCCAGCCCTTGCTGTGCTGAATGCATTACAGGAAAGGAAAAACGGAATAGACAAAATGTA